CAGTTTAGCAAATAGAACCAGCTGGGACTAGGTTAGTAAAGGCTCAGAGCACTCTCTCCCAGAGGATGTACACAGCTAACCTACTTACCATGATTCACTGTGGCTGTAATATAAATACCTCTTAACTTTCATTCTAAGTGCTAACGCATTTAGGTCTCATTTTTTTCTCCTGTTTATTTAGGTATCGTTAACATTAAACCTATAAAAAGAGAGGAATCACATGTGATACGGGGTGAAGGTTTTAAGACTATTAATGCAACACGATATGAAACAATAATAGCCATGACCAACCTAGCCATAATTAACTGTCAAATACATGGAAGAAATGCACTTAATCTTAAGGTATGCTACATCTTTTTAATGGCAATTTCTTTTTAAATCAACAATTATTCTTGCTCTAGGTTTCTTAACTTTGGTTAGTTTCCACGGTATTGAAGGGAGCCTTCCTGTTACAATAGAGATTTTCCAGGAACGCATGCAAATTTATCTCTAAACCTATGTCCTAGTTTGCCTTCATTCCAGTTTTGTAAAATGTTAAAAGCCAAAGAAATTATAGTGTATTTTAATTATATGGCGTGAGTAAAAAAAAAGTAAGATTCGGAATTATCATATTTTGAAGTTATGGGCAATCTTTGGCCCTTGTGCCACATCTAGCAACAGGCTAAATTTTCACTGAACACAAGCCTGGTGTGATGAACAGCGATAATAATAGTTGCCATTTATTAAGGACCCACTCTGTGCAAAGCAAATGTTACCCTTAAAGCTTACAATTCAGCCAAATAGGTATTATAATCAGCAGTTTACAGTTAGGAGCACTGAAGCCCAATGAAAATAACTCGTGAAAGACCAGCCAGCCAGCAAGCAGCAGAGCCTTAGGTTTGAAGTCAGAGCAATTTTACCTCAAGATCTAGGTTTCATTTAAAAATGTATTTTGAAATAAGTTCAAACTCATAGAAAACTTGCAAAAATGGGAAAAGCGACAAGAGAGTTTCTTGGGGAAGGTAGGGCATTCAAAAAGGCCTATGGATATTGGGGAATTTAGAAAGCTATGTGCATGGCCAGGGCAGGACGCATTCTAGAGAAGATCCCATGCAATCACTACCTTTTAATGGCCTGGCTAAGCATTGAAAGGGTGCCCTTGCATAGAGCCAATCTGAAAAGACTGGAAGAAATATTATTCTCTCTCTACTCCTGTCCTGTTGTACAAGGAAATCTCTCTCAAAACACTAACTGAACACTAGCCAACAGAGCAGAGATTTCAAACACAACACATGAAAAATTATAGACTTCACGAAAACAATTAAGAAAAATCACTAAACCAACAGCTACAGCCCACAGCAAGTAAAATTAAAAAAAAAAACATGAAAAGGGGGAGTAATATGATTTTTAGAGTTACCACATTATAATATGCAACTGTTCAGTTTTCAACAAAAGATATGGAATATGTGAAGAAACAAGAAATGTGGCCAGTCAGAGCAGAAATTAATAGAAACTGTTTCTGAGGAAGCACAGACATTTGACTTACTGGGGGGGGGGGGAACCTTTAAATCAACTATCTTAAGTATTCTGAAGTAGCTAAAAACAAAACAAACAAACAAAAAACAGAAGAATGATATGTGAGCAGAGATTTATCAATAAAGAGATAGAAATTACAAAGAAGAACCAAAAAGTAGTTATGGAACTGAAAAATACAATAAAAAGAAACCTTACTGGAAGCTTTGAATTGTAGGTTTGAGCAGGCACAAGAAAGAATGAGAGAACTGGAAGATAGGTCAATTGAAATAATCAAATATGATGAACAGAAAGAGGAAGAAGAAAGAGAAGGAGGAGAAAGAAGAAAGAAAAATGAACAGAGGCTAAGGGACCAGTCAGACACCACCAAGTGTACCAAGTAATGGAAGTCCTAGAAAAAGAAGAGAAAGAAACGGGCAGAAAGAACATTTGAAGACATAATGGCCAAAACCTCCCCAAATTGATTAAAGGTACAAATCTGTAGATCTCAGAAGCTTGACAAATTCCAAAAGGATAAACACAGACAGTTTCACATTGAAACACACTGTAATCCGTCAAAAGCTAGAGAAAATCTTGAGAACAGCAAGGGAGGAATGATTTGTCATGCATAAGGGATGCTCAAACTTAATAGCCAATTTGTCATCAGAAACCATGGAAGTCAGAAAGGAATGGGATGACATTTTTAAAGTGAAGAAAGAAAAGCAATCTCTCAACCAAGAATCCTATATCCAGCAAAACTATCTTTCAAAAACCAGATGACAAATTAAGATGTTCCAAGATAAACAAAAGCTGAGGGAGTTTGTTATTAGTACACCTGTCCTATATGAAATGCTGAAGAGAATTCTTTAGTCTGCAACGAAAAGTTATTAGGCAGGAACTCAAAACCTTAAAAAGAAATAAAATCTGGTAAAGGTAACCACATAGGTACATATAAAACCCAGCATTGTTCTATTTTTGATTTTCAACACTTCTTTTTATATCCTATGTTATTTAAAAGACAAATGCATAAAACAGTAATTATCAATATATGTTAATGGACACACAATGTAGAAAGATGTCATTTTTGATGACACAACAAGGACAGGGGTAGATGTGTATAGGAACAAAGATTTTTTTGTGCTGTTGAAGTTAACGTGGTATCAGTCCAAACTAGACTGTTATAAATTTAAGATGTCAACTATAATCTCCATGGTAACAACTATTAAGAAACTGTCTTAAAAATATACCACAAAAGAGAACAAGACAAGAATCAATATGGCAGATTGCAAAATAATTAAACACCAGTGAGGCAGTAATCAAATAACAACAATAAAAAACATTCTGGAAAAGGCAAAACTATGGAGATAGTAAAACTATCAGTGGTTGCCAGGGATGTTGGAGGAGGGAGGGAAGGTTGAATAGGAGGAGTACAAGGGATTTTCAGGGCTGTAAAATTATTTTATATGATACTGTGCTAATGGATTCATTTTGTTATACATTTGTCAAGACCCACAGACTATTCAACAAGAGGTTTGAACTCTAATGTAAATTACGGACTTGGGTTGATAATGATGTGTGCAATGTTGGTTCATTGATTATAACAAATACATCATACTGGTGTGTGAAACGTTGATGTTGGGGAAGACCAGGTGAATGTGTGTGGAAAGGTTATGTGGAGAAGAAAAATCTCAAATCAACAACCTAACTCTACACCTTGAAGAACCTGAACAAAAGAGAAAACTACACCCTAAACTAGCAGCAAGAAGGAAGTAAGAAAGATTGCAACAGAAATTAATGAAATAGTAGATAGAAAAGCAGTAGAGAGATGGGGCGCCTGGGTGGCTCAGTTGGTTGAGCGTCCAACTTCAGCTCAGGTCCTGATCTCATGGTTTGTGGGTTCGAGCCCCACATCAGGCTCTGTGCTGACAGCTCAGAGCGTGCAGCCTGCTTCAGATACCATCTCGGGCTCTCTCTGCCCCTCCCCCACTTGTGCTCTGTCTTTCTGTCTCTAAAATAAATAAACATTAAAAAGAAAAGAAAAGCAGCAGAGAGAATCAACAAAAAATATAGTTCTTTAAAAAGATCAATAAAATCAACAAATCTTTAGCTAAATGAAGAAAAAAAGAAAATACAAATAACTAAAACCAAAAATGAAAATGGAGACATTACTACTGACTTTACAGAAATAAAAGAGATTATAATAGAATACTATGAACAACTGTATGCCAACAAATTAAATATCTTAGATGAAAGGAAATATTTTTTAGAAAAACACAAATTACCAAAACTGACTCAACAACAAATAGAAATCTAAGTAAACCTATACTGAGTAAAGAGATTGAGTAAATAATCAAAACCTCCCAACAAAGAAAAGTCCAGGACCAGATGGCTTCATGGATGAATTCTGCTAAACGTTTAAAGAAAAATGAATACCTATACCTCTCAAACTCTTCCAGAAAATGAAAGAGGAGAGAACACCTCTAATAGTATTCTGAACCCAGTTCCACCATGGTGGGGGGGAGCAGTTGCCCCACACCACTACGCAATTCTCAGATACCAGCTGGGGGTCCTACAATTCAACTCAATTCTCACACTACCTAGAGATAACACCAGATTCCACAGGTAAAGTGCTCACTCCCACAAGATTGCCATTCAACTCAGGATGCCAATCACATGCCCTGGCTGTCACCTACACCTCTAACCAATTGGCTACAAATTAGAGGTTCCCACGACCCTCTCCTTGGGTTCAATTAATTTGCTAGAGTGGCTCACAGAACTCAGGAATCCCATTTACTTGCTAGATAACTGGTTTATTACAAAGGATATTAAATGATATGAATCAACAGTCAGATAAAGAGATACACAGGGCTAAGTATGGAAAAAGTATATGGAACTTCCATATCCTCTCCAGGCACCACTCTCCCCAAATCTCCATGTATTTACCAACCAGGATGCTCTCCAAACCCTGTCATTTTGGTTTTCTGGAGGCTTTATTACATAGGCATAATTGATTAAACCATTGACCTTTGGTGATTGAACTCAATCTTCCTCCCCTCTTCCCTCTCTGGAGGAGGGCAGTTGATGAGGCCAAAAATGCCAACCCTCTAATCACATGGTTGGTTCCCCTGGCAACCAGCCTCCATCCTTCAGGGCTTTCCACAAGCCGCCTCATTAACAGAAACCCAGTTGTAGAAAGGGGCTTGTCATGAATAACAAGACACCCATTTCATCTTTATGGCTCTGATGTGGTTTCAGGAATGGAGGACAAGGAATTAAATATAACAGAAGATGTTCCCATTGCTCTTATGACTCTAGAAACTTCAAAGATGTGGGAAGCTGTGAGCCAGGAACTTTGGAATGAAGACCAAATACACATATGAGAGATATATTTTGGTCATCTGAGTGAACAAATATATATTCTTTTAAACTAGAATATCATAATCTCTAACATATTCTATGCTGTCAATATAACCCAGATACCAAGGGAACAAAAGACACCACAAGAAAACCACAGACCAACACCCCTTATGAATATAGATAAAAATCCTCAGCAGAGCACCTGGCTGGCTCAGTCACTTAAGTGTCCAACTCTTGATTTCGGCTCAGGTCATGATCTCGTGGTTCTTGAGATCAAGCCTTGTCGGGCTACTCACGGACAGCACAGAGCCTGCTTGAGATTCTCTCTCTCCCTCTCTCTCTCTGCCCCTCTCCTGCAAAATACTAGCAAAGTATTCTCCTGGGTAAAATACTAGCAAGGTGATTAAAAAAAAATTAAAAGGATTATACATAATAACCAAGTGACATTTATTCTTGAAATAAAAGGGTGATTCAACATAAGAAAATCAATCAATATACATTCCTGCATAAGGGGAGAAAATACATAATCATCTCAATTGATGCAGAAAAGGTATTTGACAAAACTTGGTTCTTTAAAAAGAGGAATAAAATTTCTAAATCCATAATATGATTGGTTAAGGAAAAAGGAAAGAAAATTCTTAATATCAAAATCAAAATAGAAAAGGGGAAATCACCGCATGTCTCACAGACTTTAAAATAGAAAATAATAAAACACTACGAACATTTTCCCAGTGAGTGCCACGGCTATGATGAAATGGAACACTTCACTGGAAAACACAACTTGCTGAAACAGGTGTAATAAGAAATAGAACACCAGTACAGTTTCGTATCTGTAGAAAAATCTAATTAAAATTTTAATTAAGAGCCTTCACACAAAGAAAGTTCCAGGCCCATAGGACGTCCCCAGTGAGTCTACCAAACATGTAATGGAGATACAACCTGTTTACACCACCTTATTTTATGATGCCTGTATAACTCTTATACCAAAGCCACACAAGGACATTGTAAGAAAGAAAAATTATGGGCCACTGTTTTTCATAAATGTATGTGCAAAATTGCTCAAGAAAATATTAGGAATTCAAATCCTGCAATGTGAAAAGTTTTAAAACGAAGGACAATGTATCATGACTAAATGAAGCTTTTGCAAGAAACTCAAAGTTGTCTTGATATTTGAAAATCAATGTTATTCTCAACAATATCATCTCAATAGATGCAAAAACTTGACAACATTCAACACCCACTGAGGATGAAGGAAAACAAATATACCTCTAAGTAAACTGGAGTTGAAAGAAACCTTTCATAATTGTAAAGATCGTTCTAGCTGGTGCCGGGGCTGCCCTGGTGGGGTGGCTGGAGCTGAAGTGGGTATGGGCCCGGCGGGGGGCGGGAGGGCGCGGGGTGGGGGGGTCTCAGGGTTCTCCGTGCAGAGGACATATTGGCAGGACAGCTGAAGCTTAAGTGTGTGCAAGTCAGGTCGTCCTGGGACGCTCTGCACAGGGTCACCCTTGTGGGGTGGCTGGAGCCGATACAGGGTGCAAGCTGGGGGTTCCCTGGGGTGGTTTTCACGGGAGAGGCCCTGGTGGGATGCTGGGGCCAAAGCAGGCATGAGCCAGAAAGTCACAAAGCCCTCTGCACTAGGGGTGCCCTGACAAGCCATCTGGAGCTGACGTGGGGGCAGGCCTGGATTATTCTGGAGAGCTTTGCCCCCTTGTCACCTTGGCTTGATGGCTGAATCTGTAGCACTGACTGGGAGTGTCCCGGTGTGTGCCATCCTGGGGCCATCTTGGAGGGGTGACTAGAGCTGGTGTGGGCTAGGGAACGGGGGCTCGCTGAGACAGCACAGCGGCTATGGTGCCCAGACTCTGCTTCTTCCTGCACTGTGAAGGCAGCCGGGAAATGTTAAACGTGGTGTTCACCAGCCCCTCCGACCCAGAAAGAGTTCCAGCAGCCCCCCTCCATTTGGCAGCGTTCTAGGGCTAAATCTTTTCTATTCTAGCTGCTCCTTTAAACCGCGGCTTTTTTTCTGTGTCCCCGGGAGCCTGGGGCTGGTGTGAGCTAGGGGCCTGGGGCCGCCAGCCTGCTCCCCTCCGCGCTACAGAGGTGGAGGGGGAGCATCAACCATGGCGCTTACCAGCCCCACAAACCCAGAGAGAGTTCCAGAGCTCCAGCGGCTCTCCCGCGGTTTGCCAGGGTCCTTGTGCTGGTTCCTTTTTGTTCCAGTTGCTCGCTTAAACCCAGGCTTTGAGCAGATGAATCTGCTCCCGGTCCCTCAGTACTATCCCACTGCAGTGCGTGGAGGGCGCGGGTTGCCTTCCTCACAGTATTTCCATCTCCTTTGACATTCTCTACATGGTCTCTCTATCTTTTGTTGTGCAGAAGCTGTTCAGTCAGCCCTCGGTTCTTCTTCAGGAGGAATTGCTCTCTGAGTAGGTGTATGTAGATTGGGTGTGTGCATGGAGGAGGTGAGTTCAGGGACTTTCTACACTGCCACCTTGGACCAGAAGCTTCAAAAGCTCTTTATTTTAATCTGAGCTTCAATCTTATAGAGCTTTCCTGTTAACCTTTTCTCCTAAGGCTGTAGCCTTTCGGCCCTTTGATACCAAGTCGGAGGCCCCCCTCGTCTTTGGTAAGCCCTGAATTCCAGTTTTTATCTTTCTAGCCCTAATTAGGCTGGCTATGATTCTATTCAGCCTCTTGACCACAGCTTTTGATGAAGCAAATGACTTCGGGAGAAAAGTAGTGTTGAGCGTTGTGTTTACCTCCCTGAGATTCTCTCCTCTGTGGAAGTTTGGTTTATGAAATCCTAGCTACCCTTGGTAATTCCCTAAGCCTTTATTGTGTTGTGTTTGTTTACCCTGTCGGTTTCAGTGGGAAGGTTGTTTTGAAATAAGATTGTCAACCATTAGAAGTAAAAATATCAGATTATCTGGTTTTGAAGTGAATTACTTTGTTTTTTTTTTAAATCTTCTTTTTAAAATTTTTTTTATAGTTTATTTATTTTTGAGAGGGACAGAGACAGCATGAGTGGGGGAGGGACAGAGAAAGAGGGAGAGAGAGAGAATATCAAGCAGGCTCTGCACTGTCAGCACAGAGCCGGATATGGGGCTCAAACTCATGAACTGTGAGATTTGGACCTGAGCCCAGAGAAGAGCCAGACACTTCACCAACTGAGCCACTCAGGTGTCCCCGGAGCGAATTACTTTATAATTTTTTTTTTTTTTTTTTAGTTTTTATTTATGTTTGAGACAGAGAGAGACAGAGCATGAACGGGGGAGGGGAAGAGAGAGAGAGGGAGACACAGAATTGGAAGCAGGCTCCAGGCTCTGAGCCATCAGCCCAGAGCCCGACGCGGGGCTCGAACTCACGGACCGCGAGATCGTGACCTGAGCTGAAGTCAGACGCTTAACCGACTGAGCCACCCAGGCACCCCTGGAGTAAATTACTTTAAATGAGAGGTTGGTAAGCTTTTTCTGTAAAGGGCTGGATAGTAAAACGTTAGGCTTTGAGGGTTGCATGGTCTCTGTCACAAGTATTCAACTCTGTTCCATAGTTCAAAAGCAGCTATGTGCAATGCTTAAACTTATGGGCATGGCTATGTTCCAATAAAACTTTATTTAGAAAAAAACGGTTGGCAAAGTGTGGTTTGCTCATCCTTGCTTCAAATGGGAGAGAGAATGTAGCTTTTAAAGAGTTGGGTGGGGGCGCCTGGGTGGCTCAGTCGGTTAAGTGTCCGACTTCAGCTCAGGTCACGATCTCACGGTCCGTGAGTTCGAGCCCCGCGTCAGTCTCTGGGCTGATGGCTCAAAGCCTGGAGCCAGTTTCTGATTCTGTGTCTCCCTCTCTCTCTGCCCCTCCCCCGCTCATGCTCTGTCTCTCTGTGTCTCAAAAATAAATAAACTTTATAAAAAAAAAAAAAAAAGAGTTGGGTGAAGCTAGTCAAGAAAAAAAAATATTTCCACGGCTGTAAATATTATTTAAAAAAAATATTCGACTCCAGAGTAGAATCCAGAGTTCTGTGGGGGCGACACAGACGAATCAAACGTCATAATTCCTTATTTATTTCAGGGCCTTATTAAAAGAAATAGATCTTATATGAACAAAATTTACACAGAACAAGTGCACTGAATAGTATGATACAGACTCAGGGTCTAAGCACTTAAAGGTCGCTAGAGCCGTTCAGGAGATGGGGAAAGGCTCCACATTCTCAGCGCTATGTAGTTCTTCGAGACCCTTCCATGATAACCACAGCAAACAGGTTTGGGAGGTCGGTATTTATCACAGGTTGGTTAGGGAAGGCCTTTCTGGTCAGCGGCCTTGTGAGCTGACGGCTGACTATACGCAGGCCACTAATGAAGTGAGAAGACGTTCATGGGAGGAAACGGGGTAAGCACTTTCCAAGGCAGAAGGAAATGTAAAGGTGCTAATTGTTGGCGCAGTAAGTGGAGTGATTAGAGACTATGACAGACACGTTTCTACTACATAAGTGTACCCGCCAGTTCGGCAGAGAGGAGTGTCTAATGACAGGAAAAAAAGAATGCCTCCTTTTTGTCTATATACACGTTTACCGATAGTAATACTTTAATACAAGGTCAGTCTCGGGGCGCCCGGGGTGGCTCAGTCAGTTAAGCGTCCGACACTTGATTTTGGCAGGTCGTGGTCTCACAGTTGCGAGATCAAGCCCCTCCATGGGCCCTGTGCTGGGAATGGAGCCTGCTTGAGCTTCTCTCGCTCTCTCTCTCTGCCCCTCCCCAGCTTGTGCTTTCTCGGTAAAAAAATAAAAACGTAAACAAACAAACAAGTAAAATCTCAGTTCTGAAACCAGCACTTTCAACTTCAAGATTCTTTAGCCGTGAACCTTTTCATTCTTATACGCTACCTGGCGTAGCCTGATGCACTATGGCGACGTCTCCCTTCTCTACGAGCTGAGTAATGGAGTCCCTTGGTTCAGTCAGGTGACCATTAGTGAGTCTACGATCCTTAAGAAACAAATGTTTCCACTCTCCTGGAGCATTAAAGATATAGGGGGGCAGCAGGCGTGTCTTAGTCAGTTCCGGCTGCTTTGACAAAATGCCACAGACTGAACGACTTCAACAACGAATGTTCATTTCTCACAGTTCCGGCGGCTGGGAAGTCCAGCATTGAGGGGTCAGCTGACTCGCTTCCTGGTTCGAGGTCTCTTGCTCACAGCAGACTTCTTCCTGTATCCTCACATGGTAGAAAGAGAGAGCTCTGGTCCCCTTCTGTTCTTATAAGGGCACTAACCCCATTATAAGGGCTCCACCCTTAAGACCTCGTGGAACCCTAATTACCTCACACAGGCCTCATCTCTACATGGCATCACACTGAGGGTTGGGGCTTTCACGTGTGAATATGGCGGGAACACAAACATTTAGTTCATAACGGGACATAGTTTTCTTCATTCCGAGTTGGCATATTTCAGTAAGAAATTTTAGCTGTTAGATTAACAGCGAGACTAGAGAGAAATAGAAGTAGAAACATGACAAAATAAGCTAAAAGACATCATTGAATGTAAAATCTTTTTACTAACTTTTCAGCATGTAGTGGACACTCAAGCAATGTGTGCTTGTTATTAATGAAAATAATTCCTGTCACACATGTAACACTATACTTCTTACACACACGAATACTTAGCGGTGTTTCTATTTCGTTTCTATCCTTCACACAATTAAGAAATTATTATTATGACAGACTAAAATACATGAATGGAAGGTGAATAGAGGCTCGTTTGTGTGTTGTGAAAAACACCATCACTCAGGTTATGTGCTCGTTGTTTTGCTTGTTTTACTTTAGTATAAAATACTTTTGTGCCTTGTTAATGATTAACCTCTAATCTCTTGTCATTTTCTTTTAGGGTTTTTTTATTATGACTTGTCCAGACTTAACACCGTTGGCTTCCCAACTGATATATCTTAACTTATCCTTTAATGAGATCAGTTATTTTCCCACAGAAGTGAGTCCATTTTTATCATTGGTGTATATTGCAATAATTTCTTTTAATTTTAATTTTGATTTTGATATTACTGTCTTTTCAAGAATAATGTCTTATTAATAATAATTATAACCAAAAAATCGCCACTTATGATACCCCGGAAAAGAGTGAAAAAAGAGATAAATAATACAGCCAGTTAATGTTCTTTTGCTGATTCTACTATGGTAGTTCAAAGGGCTTACAAAATGTAACAAACAGAGACTTGTACACTTTATCATGCCACTCATATTTGTTTCTCTTTTCTGTTCCTCAGATATTTTGTCTTAAAAATTTACAACTACTCTTCCTGAGAAATAATCCTATCACAGAAATCCCTTCTGAAATCCAACAGCTTAAGTTCCTTAGAGTTTTCAGCATCGCCTTTAATTTGATCACTACCCTTCCACCTGGGTAAGGTCGGTAGCCTGAGATTATAAACACAGAAAAGAATTTACTATTTAGAAAGCAATCAATTTCCCGTTTGAAAGCAGCTGGCAACTTTTTAGCCATCGAATAATTCGCATTCTGTTCTGATTCACTGATTTGCTTCTTGTTATTGTGTTAAAAGGAATTTTACCAGCTACATAGATGTCAACTCTTACGGAGGCTAGAGCGTTCACCTACAGATCCATTATCTGAGTATAGATTAAAAGAATACATATCATATAAAGAGGCTCAAGTGAGAAATTTGCACCTATCCCTCGACAGCCTTTTTGGAAAGGACACTGTATGTGGCATTAGGAAATCTAGACTTTTAACTTCAAAATTGATAATGACCTGTTTTGTCTGGAGAAAGTCACTTAAGCTTCCTGGTCTCAATTTCCTAATCTGTAAACTAAGAAATTAGCTAGTATAATACCGAAGATTCTGTAATAGGAATGTTGATATTTGGGTATGAGAGAGATGGGTTTCCTCCCCCCTCCTCCTCCCCCACATATGGACAGGGAATTATTTAACCCCTAATGAAAATTTTAAACCAAAACCGTAACCAAACGCAAAACAAGATACTTCTTCGAGTCAGAGTTTAACAAATTGAACGTGGGTAAAGGGCAAAGGGACAGGGGCTCTTAAACAGTTGAACAACATTTTGTAAAGATTCTCACAGCAATTAAGGAACCGCATCAAAATTCATTTATAAGCTTGTTCACCTAGCATTGTTTGTAACTAACAATCTGACAAATTCTATATTCATAAACTGTATCACTATTCAGTCATTTAAAAGAACAAAAAGCATATAGAAGTTATACCATTTCTGTATAAAAATGTGTATATGCGCATCATACATTACACGTATATAAAAACATAAACACTAAGAAAGTAAGAATACTGCCTTGTGTATATTTTATTTCTGTTTAAATCATCTATATTTTTTAACAGTAACATAAATTGTATTTTCTCTGCCTTGATACTAGAAGCAGCTATTTCTCTAGGGAAACCCTGTTTCTTTTTTATTGAAAGATGGTGTTTAAAAACTGAGATCTGAGTGCTGGATGTCCCATTGCTATGGTGATGACATTGCTTCTAGACAGTCCCGGTGAACAGAGTTAAGTAATATATGTGTGTACACTAATCTGTGTGTACATATATACATATATATATACACACACATAACCCTGCATATGTATACACACACACACATATACACACACACACAAACTACATATATATATGTACATATAAAGACATATATATGTATGTGTATGTACCTATATATGCATCTAAATATAAACTTATATTTGATAATCTATAATTAGAATTCCAAGCTTTAATAACCATAACTGTCATTTAAACAAAACGTAGGGGCGCCTGGGTGGCTCATTCGGTTGGGCGTCTGACTTCGGCTCAGGTCATAGTCTCACCGTTTTGCATGAGTTTGATCCCCACGTCAGGCTCTGTGCTCACAGCTCAGAGCCTGGAGCCTGTTTCAGATTCTGTGTCCCCCTCTCTCTCTGCCCCTCTCCCACTCACACCACACTCTGTCTCTCAAAAGTAAATAAACATTAAAAAATTTTTTTAAATAAGCAAAATGCAAAAATTCTTTTTTTTAATGTTAATTTAGAGACAGAGAGAGAGGGAGAGAAAGACGGAGGGGGGCACATGTAGGGGAGGAGCAGACAGAGAGGGAGACACAGAATCTGAGCTGTCAGCACAGAGCCTGATGCGGGGCTCGAACTCACTATCCATGAGATCATGACCTGAGCCCAAGTCCTACCCTTAACTGACTGGGCCACCCAGGCGCCCAGGAATATAAAAATTCCTAAAGCAACTACAACTTGTTCGTAAGTAGAGGGTCAACATTATTCACTATTTAGAGATTAAGCAAATTAGTTTGGACTATTGCTTAACCATTGGTTACAGTCAAAAAGTTTTAAGGAGCTATTTCTCAATAATACTAGTGTTTCTAAAATAAAGCTGTATATATTTTATTAGATAACAGGTTCTGTATGTGTACTAGGGGAAGATTGACAGCACAGCACAAATTCCCTGAGTCCCAATTTTTTGTTGCTACGATTTTGCGTTGAGCTGCTTAGGGCATCTGTTGTAAAGCAAAAGCAGAGAGGAAAGTCTCGGCTCTGGAGGCACAAAGAACGGGGTTCTCATCCTAGCTATGCCCTTGCCGTTAGGCCCCCTACAGTTAGAGTTATGCCCTTGATCATACAACGTAAAGCTGTCATCAACTCTCTCAGGTTAAGTGTTTGAAGTCTTGTAACCACGGAAAGCCCTTTGATGGGTCTGTTTAGTTTTCTTGTAAAATAAAGATGATAAATCATTTCAAAAACCCAAAAGGTGTCTTCTTTTCCCCAAAGCCTTGAGATAGCATTTGTTCATGAAATACGTTTTCATTGTTTGTTTAAGGGGTAATGACATCACCAAAATGTCTCCTTTCCTTTTTTTTTTTTTTTTTTTTTTTTCCTCTTTCTTTCTTGGTTCTTGTCTTCTCCATCCCAAAGCCTACCTGGAGGGTCCTCACAGCCTCCGAAAAAGAACCGGCTCCACTAACACCCTGATTTCGGACCGCTGGCATCCCGGACTGTGAGAGTGTAAATGTCCCTTGCTCCACGCCACCTGGCTGTGGTCATTTGTTATGTCAGCCCTAGGAAACTAATACAGCAACCAAGGAAATAATATATCCGAGTGTGCTAGAAATTTCTCAGGTGGCTTTTTCTGCGTGGAGCTTTATCCACTCCAAACATTTCAAGGCAGTCTTAAAGGATAAATGGTTTATTTGAGGAACTTGGATTGTAATTACACTGCCTATAACGAAAAGAAGTCCATAAATTATAAGATCTTAGAAAAATACAGTTTCTCTAATACTTTTACCTCTTTACTCAAATATTTAATTCTTCATTCATGCCCAGTAATGACAAACATGTAGTCATTTTTAATTTCATTTTCTTTTTTCTATTTAAGGTTATTTTCTTTGGCCCATCTTGAGGAACTTGATATCTCCTACAATAGTGTTGCTTCTATCCCAAACAAAATCCAGAAACTCAGGTATTTGGGAAGTAGTAAGTACACACAGTCATATGCCCTATAAGGGTATATTTGGTAATGACTGTGTTGGAGAAAATTGAATTCTTTCATATATTGAATGGTCATAAAACATAATATGTGAAAGCATAAAGTTTACAAAAACAGAATTTGAATGATTGCTATTTTTAAGACATAACATTTTAAGACATAACATTTTCAGTGATTGTTTAAAAGCTGTCCTGATGGCTACATAATAGAATGACGAGAGAACCTTGTTCATTTTTCTGTGTGTGAACCTGTGTTCTTATCAGTCTTAACTTGTTTTGGGTAAGGATATACACATACATCATGGAATCTTAATAATACCAAGCTCTGTTTCTTTCTCACACTGATTTTTAAAAGTCTCTGAAGTTCATCTATGTCCTTCTAGGTCAGTGCCATCCTATTTTACTTACGACTTTAGAATAATTTTTAACAATTAATAGGGAGACTATTTTTCAATAATAATCTTTTAACTGTTCTCTTTAGGGGGTGTCTGGGTGGCTCTGCCGGTTAAGTGTCTGACTCTTGATTTCAGCTCGGGTCACGATCTTGCGATTCATGGGATTGAGCCCCGAGTTGGGCTCTGCACAGGGCAGAACCTGCTTGGGATTCTTTTCTCCCTCTCTCTCTCTCTCTCTTCCCCCTTCTCTCTCTCTCTCTCTCTCTCTCTCTCTCTCTCTCTCAGGATAAATAAACATTTTTTCAACGTATTTATTTATTTTTGGGACAGAGAGAGACAGAGCATGAACGGGGGAGGGGCAGAGAGAGAGGGAGACACAGAATCGGAAACAGGCTCCAGGCTCTGAGCCATCAGCCCAGAGCCTGACGCGGGGCTCGAACTCACGGACCGCGAGATCGTGACCTGGCTGAAGTCGGACGCTTAACCGACTGTGCCACCCAGGCGCCCCAATAAACATTTTTTAAAAAACCTATTCTCTTTATATCATGAGCTTTAAGATCATTTAATATAATTCCAAGCCCCTCCACCCCCAAAAAATATAAACACAAAATTGAAATTTCGATTGGAATTGTCTTGAGTTTATATATAAATTCTGAAGAATTTATATTTCTGATGTTACTAAATCTTTTCATCCTAAAACACAGCATAATGTTTCATTTGTTTAGATTTTGTTTTATGTCCTTTATAAGAATTTATGACCGGGGGCACCTGGTGGCTCAGTCAGTTAAGCATCTGACTTCAGGTTGGGTCATGATCTCACAGTTTGTGGGTTTGAGCCCCACGTCGGGCTCTGTGTTGACCGCTCAGAGCCTGGACCCTGCTTCAGATTCTGTGTCTCCCTCTCTCTGCCCCTCCCCTGCTCTCTCTCAAAAATAAATAAACATTAAAAAATTAAAAAAAAAATTATGACTCATTTCACATAAGTCCTTTATCTTTATTACTAACTTCCTCTAAGTATTCTATAATTGTGTTGCTATAATGAATGGAACATTTTCTCTAATTTTTATTTCTAGCTGACTATTGCCAGTACAGAATAGAGAAAAGCTATGTCCTTCTTTACATGAACTTAAAATCAAGTTATATAACTCAATTTATCTTCATTCTGGTTCAGTTTTACTGGATTTTCTTTGGCTTTCTAGGAGGATAGTCTTATCCTCAGTAAAGTGAGATGATTTTGTCTCTGCTTTTCTAATATTTGTACCAATCATTATATCCCATGTAACAATCTTTATATTTTAACAGGAGTATTCAACCTGTTCGCCTTTGTTAGGACTGATACATTTAAATTTTTGCCTTCCATTTTACTTTGTATTTACTATTTATTTACTTCTTCCTTTTCCTATTTGCCTTCTTTCTGTGTGTGTATGTGTGTGTGATTTTTCAAGATGCTACTTATTCTTTTTTTCTCCCTTATTAATTTTGAAACCCTACTGTACTTTCCCAGTCTATTAATGGCTCTCTTTTCCCCCCAAACACACGCAAACATTTTTCTTTACTATTTTAATACTATTTTTAAAAAATGTTTATCTATTTATTTTTGAAAGAGAGAAAGAGAGAGCAAGCAGGGGAGGGGCAAAGAGGGAGACAGAATCCCAAGCAGGCTCCGTGCTGTCAGCGCAGAGCCGGATGTGGGGCTCGAACCCACCAACCGTGAGATCATGGCCTGAGCCGAAATCAAGTCAGATGCTCAACTGGCTGAGCCACCCAGGCGCCCCCATCATGTTTTAGTATTGTCAGGAGTCAGAACTGGAGAGTTTGTGTGGACAAGAAACAAGGCTGCACATGAGCACATGAGACAGACTCCAGAGCTCCCAGCCTCTCGCTTCAAAAGTCGTCATTTCAACCTCTTCACTCCCAGCACGCTTGACAAGTTGGGCCAGCCTTTGATTTGTGTTTATGTGACCCTCATAAACAGATACTTTTCTGCCTGTCTCCAGCACTAATTAGAAAGGAGATGAGTGGCTGTAAAATACACCATCAAGACAAGTAGTATAAATGAGAAAATCAGTAAGGTTGGTTCTCTTTGAACAAAGAAATCAGGGCTATCAGAAGCAACGGACACAGTAAAAACCAGGGGGACTCGGGTGATGAAAAGTCTGTGTGCAACATAGCACATGATACATATGATCGTGTTAATTCCACCGTTTTGATGAGGTTTGGATGAGAAAATAGCTACTGGTGTTCAATTGCTCAACAAATATATATCCTTTCTTTGTATCATTATGCTATAGTATTTCTTTTTCCGTAATGACATGTTGCAAAGACCCAAAACATATGCTTTAACTCTTGCTATTCACACAAACGCACTTATTGGCATAACATACTGTTTCAATTGCTTTTTAATTCTCTGATTCTAAAGACGTTCTTAAACACTTGTATGTTATTGCTAAGTTTGATGCTAATTTTCCGGAACATTGGGACGGAATTTTATTTCAGTATTATGAGTTGCATAAACACCTTTTAAATTTGGTTTCCTTTATTTACAGATTACTTGAAAATCTGAATGTTAACGGGACCGATCTGACTGCTTTTCCACCTGCGATTTTGAAGCTTAACCTGAAAAAACTCCAGTTTGAGAACACTTTCACGCATCCTACTTTTTGGAAAGAGAATTCTTTAAATAGCCCCCCGTGTCTGACTCATCTTACTTCCTTGTTCTTCTTAAAAAGTAATCTAGACAAATATTACGATGAGATCCCAGTGGAAATTCAAGAGCTGCTAAAATGGTGAGCAAATGCTGAAGCCCTTTTAGGAAGAATACACCTTTAAGCCTTTAAAATGGTGGTCAATAGAGGCCAGGTGAGAGTTTTACCGTCAACACACACACACACCACACCACACCGTCGGGCATACATAAAATTCTTCGCATTTCTCCTTCTGGCTCTTCAGGCATGTGATGTCGTCTGAATTCAGCCCGTTTGCTAAAATCCTCAAGTCACTACTTAATTCCAGTGGGAGTTACACATTGCTGAGGGGTAGCTGGCAATGTCTCTACAGTCCATAGTCATAGGTCCTGTGAATTACTAAGGACATAGAAGTGGGTTCTTCCAAAAAAGGCTTCTTTAGTCCCAGGCACACTATGCAGGGAAATGCTTTATACTCTAGCTTCCTAGAGACCAGACGTATTTCGAGCAACTTCTCCTCAGTGATCCGTGGCCAGTGTGAGAATCATTGCCTAACCTCAGGATTTTTAAACCCCATCCACTGGCGGTCCACTCAGCTTATCTCTTATTTCCTTCAGATGGTATAAATCTGTTGTTACGCTCATCAGTGCGTATAGTACTGATTTAACAAACATTTGTTGTATGCCTAAGTAAAATTTCCCAGGAGTAGATAAATTACCAATATAGACTCCATAAAAGGCAGGAAGCCTAAACAGACTAGTAATCATCAAAGAAATTGAAGAAGGTGATTCTAAACTACCAGTAAAAAGGGACCAGCACCCAAAGTTTTCCATTTTAATGCATCAAGATGTCAGTGTTCATGAGATTTGAATGCACATGAAAAATTAAGAAATACCTCAAAAGATACAAAGTTTTATAAAGAAATAAAACCAAACTAGTGAGTGGTAACAGATGTGGTACAAAAAGATTTGAATTCACCACAAAGTAGGGAAGCTGAACCTGACATTCCTCAAATCTGTACCCAAGAGTGGGCTACGTGTCCCTGGGCAGTAAATACCTTTTTTCTAGCTAACCAAGCGTTTTTGAGAGAAACATCCTCAATTTAGACTTTGAAGACTCCGAAAAAATTAAGTTAAATTGAACATTATCTCACAGTTGAAAGAAATGTCCAAAAACGTGTGGAAATGAGCCATCAAGAGTTAAAGTCAGCAAAATCAGTCAACAGGTACAAGCCTCCAAGGATCCAAGATATTAGAACTTTACAGAATATGAAATACCTATTTTCAGTGTTTAAAGTAATAAAATATATTAATTTTAAAAATGGTTAAGAAATAAAAGACCATCGAATATGAGTGGGCACATATGAAAAAGAAATTTTATTTTCATTTATTAAAAAAATTTTTTTAATGTTTATTTTTGAGAGAGAGAGAGAGAGAGACAGAGTGTGAGTGGGCAAGGGGTAGAGAGAGAGAGAGGGAGACACAGAATCCGAAGCAGGCTCCAGGCTCTGAGCTGTCAACACAGCGCCCAACGTGGGGCTCAAACCCATGAACAGAACCGTGAGATCATGACCTGAGCCGAAGTCGACTGCTCAACTGACTGAGCCACCCAGGGGCCCCTATTTATTTATTTTTAAATGTTTATTTATTTTTGGGAGAGAGAGAGTCAGAGTGTGAGCAGGAGAGGGGCAGAGAGAGAGGGAGACACAGAATCTGAAGCAGGCTCCAGGCTCTGAGCCGTCAGCACAGAGCCCAATGCAAGGCTTGAACTCACGACCCATGAGATCATGACCTGAGCTGAAGTCGGATGCTTAACTGGCTGAGCCACCCAGGTGCCCCTGAAAAAGAAATTTTAAATGAAATGAAATTCTAGAAACTAAAAGTGTAACAGTTGAAATTAACTTGGTGCATGGGTTAAATAGACAACTATACAGACACGCAGAGGGATCTGAAGAGATTATTGTGTCTATGCAGACAGGAGGTAAAGAGATATTAATACGTACTCTAACACAGACGTAGAGTCCCAGAGAATTCTGTGTATTTTCAGAAGTAATGAAAGATGTGACCTCGGACGCTGAAAGCTCTATACGAGGGCAGTAACACACCTTATAGACACCAAAGACGAAGGCAAAGACTCAAAATCAGCGAGGGGGGAAAAAGGCACTTAGAATAAGAAGTCAACTGCTAGCAACAGCGGGACAATGACCGAAAACACGCTACTTTGCCCAGCACAACGAACTTGCAAGAACAAGGGAGAAAGAATGTCATTTCAGAGAAAATAAAACAGAGAATTGACTTCCTCTAGATTTTCACTAAAGGAACTTGCAAAGGGTGTGCATCAGGAGAAAGATGACTCCAGAAGCAAGCTCTGAGATGTAAGGAGGAATGGAGGGAAAGAGATTGGAGATATGTGGATAAACAAACATGGTCTCTAGAAGCCATGAAATAATAACAACAATGTCTATGGTGTGGTGTTGAAAAGAAGCTATAACTAAAACCAGATATCAAAAACAATTAGAGATGTAATATTTAAGTGATACTTTTTGTAAAGAAACGTAATGTACCTAGGAATATATCAAGTGAAATATGTGCAAAGCATTTACAGAGAGAAAACATCAAATGACAGAAAAATAAAGAAGTTTGAATCAAATGACAAAGATACATATTCAGGCATAATAAGATCCAACACCAAAAATACATCCGTTCTCCCCAAAAAGAAAGGTATGTTCAATGTAGTTCTGGTCAAAACTCCAACAGAATCTCCGAGAAACTTGATAAGCTGACTATAAAATGTGTATGGAAAAGCAGAGACTCCAAAATAGCCAAGGCAAGCCTGAAAAAGAAGACTAACATTAAGGGCCTCGTTGGTTTATATCTGGTCAGATATGAACAATGATTATAAAGTCAGAGAGAGTAATACAGCTGGTGTTACGTGCAACGAAAGATAAATTAACCAATGGAAGAGAATACATAGTCCAATTACGTCCTCGTGCGTGTGCAAAAGCTTGATGTCGGGCAAAATAGCACTGTGGATCAGTAGGGAAAGGAGAGATTTTTCAATAAGTGATACTGGGATATTTGGTCACCTACCAGGGGAAAAAAATGTATCATTAGATTCCTGCTATGTGTATGTCACTATCCTATGCAAAATCAGTTCCAGTTGGATTAATAATGTAAATGCGAAAAACAAAACTTCAAAGCCTTCGCAAGCAAGTATAGGAGACTAATATGTATAACTTCACGATAGGAAAACACGCCTTGAGCAAAACAAAAAATATAAACAGTAAAGCCAAGTTTCATAAATTTGACAAAAGTGTAATCTTTCCATGTAACATGACACCTATAAAACTAAGAGGCAAGCCATCAAGAAGATATTGCAATGCATACAGCTGTTGAAACATAGATGTATGTCTCCCACAAATCCGTAAGAAAAGATATAACCACTAAAAAGTGTATAAGTGATAGGAATATGCAATTCAGGGGGGATGATACATTGATAGCTGATAAACATGAAGAATGTTAAATCTTATTGGTAATCAAGGAACTGTGATATCACATAGCAACAATAGGTTTTTTATGGACCCGTTTAATCAAGATGAAGGAGATTGACACTAAATATTGGCTTTGGATGCCGCAAACTGCATTATCATGTACCATTCGTGGCACTGTAAGTTGGTCAAAGCTTTGTGGAAGGCATTTTGACAGTATCCTGCTTACCCCTTGAAAGAGAAATTTAAGGGGCGCCTGGGTGGCGCAGTCGGTTAAGTGTCCGACTTCAGCCAGGTCACGATCTCGCGGTCCGTGGGTTCGAGCCCCGCGTCAGGCTCTGGGCTGATGGCTCAGAGCCTGGAGCCTGTTTCCGATTCTGTGTCTCCCTCTCTCTCTGCCCCTCCCCCGTTCATGCTCTGTCTCTCTCTGTCCCAAAAATAAATAAACGTTGAAAAAAAAAAATTAAAAAAAAAAAAAAAAGAAATAGTAACATGTGAACACAAGTCAGGCATAGGGATGGTAATTGCAGCCTAAATGCGCATCAATAAAAAAGTGGTAAAATAAAATTACGGTGTATCCATGTTTTGGAATATTATGATGCTATTCATAATATGAAGCAAAACAAAATGTATTGCCATAAAAATTTGTCCAAGACATTCTGTTAACTCTTTTGAGATTTTATCCATATGTAAAATTTAACGTGTATCCATGTTTATATCAATTTTTTTTTATTTTTTAAATTTAAAATTGGTAAATCACACCGATGTCTACACCACCAAGAAAGTATGAGTGGCCCCTGATGATTCTCATCCACACCAAACTTTGTACTGGCAGACTTTTCCATTGTGCCCATCTGATGATTATGAAATGGTATCTGTAGTCCCTGATGGCTGATGAGGTTGAGAAGCTACATTTCTCAATGTGCTCTCGACATTCAAGTCTCTTCTTCTGTGAACAGTCTGTTCATGCAAATGGAATAAGCGGTTGATGTCTTTATTTTTTTTTTAACTGATTTGTGAGCATCTAAAAATACATGCAGACACAAGTCCTATACTAGGTTATGGTAGTCCCTTTATTTTTAAAATAATATATGTATTTTGAATTCTAAAAATAATACGTAGTTCTTACAGAAAATTTGAAAATTATGGAAAAACTTCATAAGGACATTTAAAATGTCCTGTGATCACACTGACCAAGAATAAGTACTGTTTTCTCTCTGTGTCTATCCTTAGAGTGTTTCCTTGCTATGCATCTATACTTTTTTGTTTTAGAAAACTAGGATTGTTTTGTATTCACACATCTATTTTTTAGCATTTAATTTTTACTTGTGTATGTTTTCGCTCTTTAATTAGATGCTAAGATCAATAACGATAAAGGCCCCATTTTAAACTACTTAGAGTCTTGCACAGCATCAGGCAAGATGTCTTTTCCTTAGTAGATATTTACTAAGTATTGACGTGATGTTTCCTCATTCGCAGCCCGTCTACATGTGAATGGTGTCACGGTCCCAAGTTTGGTGAAGGTTTTCGAGTCATCCGATCCTGTGATATTTTTGGAGCAACACAGCTTCCTGTTTTGTACCATGTCTGTTCTTCCTCCTGCTACAGAAAAGTAAAGGAAAGCAGTTTTATGTTAAAGAATGATCCCAGTAAAAGAAGAGCTCTAAATTCTGAGTTGATAAGTCATACAATGACTTAGGAGTCCCACTTTAAAAGCGATTAAAGTTTGTGTATATGGTAATTCCTGTCTTTGAGAGTACAGGTTTCTGTCTCCTGTGACGCCTCTTTGTAACCCCAGCTCCTTAAGGAACTTTGTGATTGTGAGGGAATTGTTGCAGAATAATTACTTTAGGAAGATTAGTAAAAGGTCTTTGGATTTCAATGAAGATCTAGAAAACTATTGCATGTTGGGCGTAAAATGAGAACTGACAGAATCCTTCGCAAAAAAAAAAACAATTTATCTTACAGCTGGCTTTTTTGGGCATCCATTCCAAGTGATAAGATAACATTTCAAGGTCAACCAGTGGCATTTGTGCCTCCTCTGGGTTCAAAGCCACGTACCCAAGTTCTCTTTGTGAATGCTGTTCGTGAATTTTTGTGGAAATCTGCCCAGTGCCAACCATCTCCATTGTGGATTGTTTTCGGTAATAAAAGATTTATTCCAGTCCTATATTTAGTTGTCTGAATTCATTACCCAGGCTTTTAGAACACTGGTACAATCTGTCAGTTATCCTGACCTTCATCTCATAAAGCTGGATTCCATAGGCCAGTGCTAGCACTCACCAGGCCTTCAAAGATAGCCTGGCAATTGGGGTGCCTGGGTGGCTCAGTTTGTTAAGCATCTGACTTCAGCTCAGGTCATGATCTCACGGTTCGTGGGTTCGAGCCCCACGTCGTGCTCTGGGCTGACAGCTTGGAGCCTGGAGACTGCTTGGGATTCTGTGTCTCCCTCTCTCTCTCTGCCCCTTCCCTGCTCTCGCTCTCTCTCTCAAAAATGAATAAACATTAAAAAAAAAATTAAAAGAAAAACCCAAAGATAGCCTGGCAAGAAAATAAGGTAAAACTTATCAAATTACATTGCAAAGCAACATATGCATACAGTAGAACTTGCTTCTTTAAGAATTAGTGTTTGGTAACAGGAAGGTAAGAGCATTTTGATATAACAAACAATTGAATTTCAGAATGGCACAGAATTGTTTCATATGCGTCATATTTTTATGTGTATTGAAGTCCGAAATGTCATTGCTAATGATGAAACTTGATGAAATCACGTGACTGAAATTTATACAGGGATCTTATCTCTAGAGAATGTCAGAAAACTCACATTATGTCAGGTGTGTGTGTTTCATTTAGTAACAACAAGGGGGTATAGGAGTGATTCAGTCAGCTGAGTGACCAACCTCCTGAGGTCACCATCTCCCAGTTTGTGAGTTCAAGCCCCCCATTGGGCTCTCTGCTGTCAGCACACAGACCACTTCAGATCCTCTGTCTCCCTCTCCCCCTCCCCCGCTCTCTCTCATGCGTGCTCTCTCTCTCTCAAAAATGCATAAATGACAACAAATAACAATAACAAAAATGTGAGCTAAATATTTAAATAGCTGTAACAAAATTAAATACACATATATTTTCATCATAGTTATAAGAAGTTATTGCTCAAGAATACTCGCATTTGGGTGCAAATATATATAATAGTGATCACTTGGAAACATTTTAAGTTTTTATCAGTAGAGAGTTGGTTAAATATGGTAAATCCAACAAGGTAATATCATTCAGCCACTTAAAAAATTAGATAGCTCTGTTTTTCCTGACATGGAAAGATAATTATCAAGTATTCTTGACAAGATATTTATTAGGTAATATAATCACATACTTTAAAATTCAAAAGATACCAAAGAGTAGATCTTAAAAGTTCTTTAACGCCAATGCCCTGCCGTCTCAGAGGCAATCAGTGATACCAAGCTTTTTGTATTCTTCCAGGATGTTTTATTGTATATGTAAGCTCGTAAGTAAATATATTTCTTCCCTACTATTTATACAATATTAACAGATATATACTCCTTTTTGGACCTTTCCTCTTAACTACGCCATAGAGGTGGTTCTGTATCAGTACATTATTACCGTTTATTATTTTTTAAGATTGCCTATTATTCTATTGAGAAATGTATATAGTTTTCTTTACCAGTTCAGTACAAATGAACTCTCGACTTTTTATAACCTCTTGTTATGAAGAAAAAAAAAAAAAAAACGTTGCAAAGAATAACATTGTCATTTGCACATGTTTAAATCTGTTTGCAAGATAAATCCCTAAAGGCGAAGTTGCTAGGTCAAAAGGCATGTGCATTTATATTTAATTGGGGGCATATGGAATATATTTATTTTGTTCACTTTCGAATATGTAATACTAATATGTTGTACCCATTTGGAGCAAGATTTGGATCAGAGCGAAAAGTAAGTCTTTCCAATCAACTTCCTTCAGATTCCAATTCTCCTGAGGCAAACATTGCCACCAGCTTCTTGTCTTTGCCTCCAGGGAAATTCTAAGCATGTATAAGCACGCTGCTGGATGTAGAAGAAACTTCCTTATTCCAGTAGCTTTTTAAAAGAATTTTTGGGGGTCACATTCTATAGCAGCAATATTGACTTCGTCTGTAAGCTTCTTGGAAATGCAGAATCCCAGATCCACCCCAATCCTACTAGATTAGAATCTCTGGGGACGGTTTCCAGGAATCTTCATAATCACTCTCTCTCCAGATGATTCTAAGGGTCACTATCATGGACATTCTCTGGTCTCCAGAGGTCAGAAGGCTCACCCCAAGATGTCAGAGAAATAAATATGCAGGTTTGGGCATAATGCACTTTATTGTCTTCTCATCTCAGCCATACACTGTCATCCCCGAGATCTCATTCTACAAAAATTATTTAGGAATGTTATCCCAGGACTAGTTTAACATTCAAAAATTGATCAGTGCAAGCCACTGGACCTCCAGACCTCCATGAGCACCAGAGTGCAGAGAACAGAGACAGGCGAATGTTTCTCTTTCTAGATGTTCATTATCCTGGTGCAAAACATCTCAGTAAGTACGTCCTTTCCCCCCCTTTCTTTTCCTTCACTTGCCCTGACTTTCATTTTTTCTTCTCACCCTCCCTCCCTCCTTTCATTGCTTTCTTTGGACCTCTATTTTTTCCTGTTTTTCGTCCTGAGGTAGGGAGTGCTTAATTAAATTTAAACACAAAGGAGGACTAAGGATCATGGAAACAGTCTGTCTGTAAAATACTCAAGGTAATCCCAGGGTCCCTGGGTGGTGCAGTGGGTTAAATGGTTAAATGTCTGACTCTTGATCTCATCTCAGTTCATGGTCTCGTGGTTCATGGTCTCGTGGTTCATGGTCTCGTAGTTCATGCATTCGAGCCCCAGGCACTGATGGCGTGGAGCCTGCTTGGGATTGTCTCTCCTTCTCTCTGCCCCTCCCCAGCTCGTGCGCTCTTTCTCTCTCTCTCAAAATAAATAAATAAACGTCAAAAAAAAATTCTCAAGGTAATCCCAAGTCATCCTGTAACAACAAGTATGTGTGTGAGCACACATCTGGGTACATGTAGAAGGGGGTGGGAGAAACTGGATGATAAACAAAGGATTCATGGTGCCCTCTGGGAAATGGAACCTGGGGCTGGGATTACGGTCTTTCACTTTCTATTACGTGATTGTTTCCACTTCTGAGTGTTTGAATGTCAGTTTAATTATGAATTACTCTAATAAACATAAAAATGTTTTCATGGGATTTTAATGGGATCATGTAATGCCGACATTTTCTTTCTGTCTTTCTTCCCTGAGTCATATATTGCAAACATTTTTCTAGGTTGTTTATATCCAATATTGGTAAGTTGCCATGGAAATGCCCCAACTTGCTTATCTGATATTCTCTTGTTGAATAAACTATCTCTGGTGTTTATCTGTTGTAAACAACAATAGATTTCATAGATGTAATAAAACCAAAGATAAAGAGTTGCCAAAATCTATTTTTGTTTTTGTTTGATTGTAACAAAAATTTCCGACATTTAAATTGCCAGATGAGCATTGTGCAGAGATTTAAAGCTTTTTATTCTTACGATTAAATTGTTATCCTCATTATCAGTTTAGCTTTTCACCAGCAGTCTGTGAGCTGCCTTTTTCCCCAAACCCACAATATCGTTGGTTTTAGTTAATTAATTAACTATATGCATTGCCAATCAGATAGAAAGTACATACATATGATTATTTCACTTTCTTTTATTACTAATAAAGTTAATTTGGGTTCCATGTTAAATAATCATGATTCTGTCATCTTTTGTAACTTTTTCCTTTACATCTTTTTTCTGGTGCTTCTATTGATATGTTCATCTTACTGGTTTGTAATGGTTTATATATGTTGAGAATGTTACCTTCTGTCACTTATGATGACAGGGGTTTTCTTCCCCCCATTTACGACCAGCCTTTTATTTTTATTCAAAGTGGGGGTTTTTTTGACAAGAAGATTGTATTTCATCTATGTGTTTACTTTTTGACATAAAGATTTTAAATTTTAGGTTGCAAAATCATGGATGAAACTGGAGTTACGACATAACGTCAGTGAATAGTGAAATAAGCCAGACACGGAAAGAAAAATTACTGCCTGATCTCCCATATATGTGGAATCTGTAGAAGTCAAGGTCAGAGCAGAGAGTAAAATAGTGGTTACCAGGAGCCGGGGTTTAGGGAAAATGGGCAGATACTGGTCAAAATCAATTTATTCCCTTATGTTTTTGTCTTTTATTGCTAAGCTTAGCAAATCCTTCTTTCTTTCCAGTTACATAAAGATCCATCTGTGGTTTATTTTACCTTTTTTTTAAAAAAATTTTTTTTTCAACGTTTATTTATTTTTGGGACAGAGAGAGACAGAGCAGAACGGGCGAGGGGCAGAGAGAGAGGGAGACACAGAATTGGAAACAGGCTCCAGGCTCTGAGCAGTCAGCACAGAGCCTGACGCGGGGCTCGAACTCACGGACCGCGAGATCGTGACCTGGCTGAAGTCGGACGCTCAACTGACTGCGCCACCCAGGTGCCCCCTATTTTACCTTTTAATCTCGATTCATTTCAAAATTACTTTAGTATGGAACATGAGGGGTGGCTCCAAATTTAAATCTTTCTAGAATGCTGAAAAATTAGGTCCCCATCCAATAGCAACTAAGGCTTCACCCTACCAACTTGAAATGTCACTTTTACTATGCATTAAATTCCTACATAATTAGGTCTGGTTTGTTTTTTGTTTTTTTTTTTTTTCCTACTCTAGTCCACTAACTCGTTCTCTGTGATGCCAACACCATACGGTTTTAATTCTTTTAACTGAAACTGCATCTTAATGAATATATCTGGTTTCTCAAGTTCCAACTCATTGCTGTTTTTTGCTCAATACTTTTTAGTTACCCTTATACCTTTATTTTTATACAATAATTATTAAAATCTTTAAAATTGTTGTGTATTATGTCCCTCCCTTTCACCAAATAAACTACTGTGGATTTTTGTTAGAAACTGAACAAAACTGATATCTGCACAATATAGAGTCTCCCCATCCAGGCACATATACTCTGTGACATCATTTATGTAGTAATAATGATAATGATAGCAATTCAGCCATTGGGGGAGTTTCTTCTGTATGA